TTATCTAGCAATGAAACTTTAGTGAAGGTCTAAACTAACAAGCAAGCAAAGCAACTAAACGGTTGTTTTCAGGTTAAGAGAGGTCACCCGGATATGGTTCCCCCTAGTCTGCAGTTAAGCCGGATTGTAATTACCAAGTTCAATTTCTATGATAGTTATACTGCGGAAGGTTCTCAAACAGTCTGAAGTCTCGACTAAAGGTCTTCAGACCCTCTCAATCTGAGTCTCTAGCGGGCGACTAACCTCCACCGGAGTAAACAGATTGAGGCCCTATGAACAAAACCTCCACTACCGAATTGAATTCGGTACAGAATAGTGAATTGGCTCCTCGACTAGAGTCACCAATTCGCCACCTTCGATTAAGGGTACTCTATCAACCTAGGCAGATATTCTCATTCCAGGTCAAAGCAGAAACAACAGGAATTTGATCAGGATTCAAGTCATTCAATCATTCAAACCTAAATCGAATATAATTAATTCACAAACTCTGTACTTGGGTTCATACAATCAGACCTAGCATACAAATCTAGGGTTCACCATACCCAGATGAATGGGGAAACTACTCCATGGAGAAAGAAGCAAAAGCAGATTCAGACGCGGAAATCATACTGTGAAGTTGGATTCCTGCTCCTGGACGTTTAATCGTACTTCTCCAAGCTCAAACCGGGCTCCAATGGTGTTGAAGATCGATCTATGGCGCTTGGGAACTCTGGTTCGTCGCTTTCTCTCTCTAGGAATCGATTTCTCTCTCAAAAACTCGGAACCCTTTGAAAATTGGCCTTCTTTCTCTTTTATCAGCTGCCCTCGCGATACCCGGTCGAAATACCCGGTCGGGTATTTTTGGGTTCGACCGGGTATTGTCCAAACGCGCCGTTTCACTAAAGGGGAAAATCCCCGGTCTGACCTCAAAATCCCCGACCGGGGATTTTAGGCCATCGCCCGGGCCCCCTTCTGCTTCTCACGGGTGTCGAAAATGATAAATACCCGGTCGGGTATTTTGCCATCCGACCGGGTATTTTCCTCCTGCAGCCCCCTTAGTCCCAACTCGGCTCCTTTCGACCCAGAACTCGTTTCTTCGTCTCGATTCCAACGCCGGGACCTGAAATATGACACAAACACACAACCTAGCGTAAAATCGGCTTAAAACACGAGATTCCTCAGCACAAACGGCTCCAGAATAGGGGTGAAAATATGTATAATTATCGGTCTATCAACAACAGAAGTAGCAATGCGCATACGTTGCCCAGAAGGATCAAAGCAAAGGTACCCTTTGTGAACACTGCTATATCCTAAAAAAACACACCGAACGGTTTTAGAAGTCAACTTGGTTCGTTCGCGTTTAGGAAGAAGAAAAACAGAGACATCCAAAGACTCGAAGACGAGAATAATCAGGATGATGACCAAAAAGAACAAAATAGAGACTCTTTTGATGTAGAACGGGAGTGACTTGATAATTATTGAGTCGGACAGTAGTGACGACTGCTTCAGGCCAAAACCGACTAGGAACAGAAGAGGCAAGAAGAAGAGCACGTGTAAGTTCCATAACATGCCTATTTTTTCGTTCAACAAGCCCATTTTGTTGAGAAACACCGGGGCAGGACATCTGACTCAATATACCACGGGAGCGATATACTTCATGCAATGGACTGGAACTGAATTCACCCCCTGCATCAGAACGGATAATTTTGACCGTGCGACCGAACTGAGTTTGAACCATATTAAGAAACTCTATGGCCACAGATTTAAGATCGAACTTTAGTCGAAGAAAGTAGATCCAGGTGTATCGAGTTGCATGATCTATGAACAGGGCAAAATAGCGAAAACCAAGGCGAGATATGGTGGGAGAAGGTCCCCAAAGATCAGTGTGAATAAGATGAAAAGGTTCGCTAATAACAGTAGTATTAGAAGAAAAGGATGAGCTAGACGTTTTTGCTTCAATGCAACTAGTACAAGAATGTTTGACAGAGAAACCACTATGATCCTTTCCCAAAAGAGACTGTTTAAACATTTCCGACAGACGCGCAGAGTGGGGATGCCCTAAACGAGCATGCCACAAATCCCACTCTTTATTGGACAAACTAGACAACACAGGACCAGCAATGGAATACGAATTTGATAACAAAGAAGGACTACTGACAGACCTAGACACACTTGAATTTTGAGACAGAGACCTTGAACTATCATGTAGTTCCTCTAAATGAAAAATCCTCCCTTGCTTACTCCCCCTTCCGATCTGTCTTCCCGTCTTCGTGTCCTGTATAACACAACCAGTAGGGGCAAATACAACGGAATAACCTTGCTCAGTAAGTTGACCAACCGAAACCAAATTAGGAACAAGTGCAGGAACATGAAGTGTATGAGGCAATGATATTTTCGAAGTATCAACATTGCCAATACCTTGAACAGCCAACTTATCTCCATTAGCAACTGTCAAGCCCATATGATTAATTGATCGATTATTATGTAACAAATTTCTATCATTTGTCATATGGTTATAGCACCCGGAATCGATCAACCAAGGTTTGAGTTTAACTTTACCTTGCAGGGCTGATAGAGCCGACCCAAAAGCAGTTGGGAGAGAGCTTTGTAAAGCAGCAACGGCTTGAACGAGCTGCTCCAGCTGGGCAGCAGTGGTGTTCTCGGTACTTGTCTCTCCAACAACATAAGAGGTTCTATTTACTCTATAATTAACTCCACGTCCAAAACCATTTCCTCCACGTCCATTACCATTTGTAGGTGGCGACCCAGTCCATCGATCACCATTCCCAGCTGCATTAGCTAGCGACTGTCCTGTCCAGCGCTCAGCGTTCCTTTCCCTAGTGCGACACTCCAAGACAATGTGACTCATCCGTTTGCAGTAGACGCAATAGTTTCTCCGACGGCAATGCTTTACCAAATGCCCTTTCTCATGGCAGTGGTGGCACACTAGTTCAGCATTCGGAACTCTACTGGTGAACTGAGGTCGAGTTACAGCTAACGCCTGCGAAGATTGACCAATACCAGGTCTGATCGAGGCCGCGACAGCTGCCATAATAGCCTCTCCTTCTCCTGGTCTTGCATCAAATTGAGCTTGTGTTCTGAGGCGCGTTTCTTCTCGCACCAAGCTACTAATCATGCCATCAAAATTCAGCTGCTCTCGGTTCAAAATAGTAGATCTAACAGGTTCAAATTCTGGCCTCAAACGCATAAGAAATTGCAATACCCGAGTTTGCTGGCGTTCAGCTATCATGTCGGTTGTCAATTCGGTTTGGGGGTGCAGCGCGGCGTGGAGCATATCTTGCTCTGTCCATAACTCCTGGGCTGCATTGAAATATTCTGTAATTGACTTGTCTCCTTGCTCCAAACGAGCAAGAGCAGTTTGCACTTCAAATTGCCTAGCGGCATTGACGGTGGAGTAGAGGCCAGCAAGGTGCCGCCACATCCGATTGGCGGTGTTGAATAGACGGAAACTAAGACATGTTGAAGGATCAACCGACCCCAGCAGCCAAGATCGGATTCTTGCATCACTCTGATTCCACGACGCCTTTTCTTGAGCGCTTGCAGTCGCTGCAGGTTGTGGAACAGTTCCATCTAAAATCCCAAGCAAGCCTCTTCCTTCCACAAAAACCCGGAAGTGAAATTCCCACAGCGTAGTTCGTTGAAGTGAGACGTACAGTCGGCCTCTCTGATTAAGCCGCAGTAAGCTCTGATACCATGTTGATGAAGACAGAAACTGATAAACGATGAACAGTAAACGGAAATAGACTCAGACACGGAGTTTACGTGGTATCCCTAGAGATCCAGGACTAATCCACGGAAGAGCTTTGAATGCTCTTCAGGCTACTGATTTACTGATTTACTGGAAGGTTACAGAATCAATGATGATGGCGGCAGGACCACTCTTCCTCTTATACATCTAGTGTCCCTCTAGGTTAAACTCAACTCTCTCACGTCTAACCTAGTGCATAGGCCTGCATGGACATGACGTATGGGCTTAACAATAATTAATGTGCCATACAATCATTAACTACATAATCTCCTACATAAACCCATATAAATCGTAGCCTAGCATGATCATCACTTAAAAGACGGAGGCCATTATCGACCAGTACGCAGAAGCGTAATTCGCGACCTACTCACATAGAGGGGACCTAACTTTTTTTTTTCCTGTATACTACCATTAATTTAAGTTATTGGAAGAGGTCATGTATAAATTTTATATTAGTTTATTATACTCTTCTACTATATTAAAATATAAATGAAATATCAAAAGGAGAAGTGGAAAATTAGAAATTTAATAAAAGTGTGTTTGGATAGAAATATGTGTAGTTGAAATACATATAATTTAAATTCATTGTTTGAATATTCATTTTTATTTGTTTTTTTTTTTTTACTTTTCTACTCACACAATACAAATATTATATAATTATATCTTAGTAATGAAATTTATTTTCTGAAAAGTAAGTACGAAAACATTAATTTTTTGTACAAACGGGTGCATAAATTTTGGTGGAAAAATACATTCTAGTACCTTTGTATATTTTTTCGTTGAATGCCTTTGTATTTTTAACATTGCACTATAATACACGAACTTTAAAAATTTACAAAAATATCCAATATGTTACCTTGAGGAATTGCAAATAGCTAAAGATTGATATGTATTTCAAAGTCACAAATAATATATTAAATATGTATTTGAAATTCACTCGTGCATTTGCTACAAATTTAAATCTCGTATTTTGTATTTGAAATTCCAAATTCCAAATCCCAAGTCTATCCAAAAGTCGAAACACACTTTAAATGGAGCTGGAATCAGAATGCAGCAACACAACACTGCATTACCGATAAGCATTGGAAATGCTTGAATCGTTCCGATATTCAAAATACAAAGAGCAAAATAAACATGAGAAAGAAGTTATCTAAGCGCAGAGTAGTAGAGAGAGTACATCAAGCAAAGATAGCATTCTCAGCCGCAAAAATCGCCTCCGCGCCGCCGATGATCCATCCTCATTACAGCAACCCTAATAAACGTCGTACCTTAATTGACACGCCGTGGCATTGAACTGAGCTCCCACCCGCCGCGGACATTTTTCGAGGACCTTCTTCGCCCCATCCTTGAGACACTTGGCGCAAACCGCCTTCGAAACATTCTTCGTGCAGGCACCTTGACCGGACATGATTGGGTGGTCTATCTCCGGGAACTTGATAACCTTGGCGTAATTCTTGCTCTTGCTAACCTCGTCGCCGAGCTCTTCCAGCACGTGCCTCACGTAACTGTCGGTCGGGTACACGGTTGTGTAATTGGTCCTGTTGCACGCGACGCCCGCCGCCTTGGGGGTCGTCGGCTTGATCGGCGGGGATCCTATCGGAGACATGCTGTCGTCGTCTTCGGCGTTGATTAATCTGAATACGGTGATGAAGACCACCGCTGACATCAGTAGGCGACTACCCATCTCGTTTCTCCTCTGTTTTTCTGGGTTCCCCTGTTTTTGGACTTGCTCTGTTTTTCTCCTTGGGATGACTTGCTCTGTTTTTCACACCGACTTTGGGATGCTTTTTAAATGGTAACTTGACAAAGGGAAAGATGTCGCCTTTTGTAGGTTTGTGACTGTGGGAGATGGCAAATTCAGTTGATCTTGGTGAAACGCAACTAAGAGTGCACAGCTAGCAAGACGAGGGAAACTAGAAGCTGTGGAAGAGGGAGAGAACAGTGAGATGGCAGAGTTTAGGTTGTCAAAATTTGTGGATTTGGAAGATGACAGGGTGTAGAAATTAAAAACAAAAAGTTTCGAATAATAGTTGCAGACTTGATGCTTGCAGGATTTTCCTCATGACCGGATTACGTACTTAGATCGAGTGTTCGGCGATTTATACCTGTTGTATGGATTCTATACTAACCAAATCATAGTTGTTGCTGATTGGAGGGAAATTTAATTCTTTGTATTTTACGTTTAACCATATGTGGGGATCGCCGGCGAGATGAAGCCGGATTATTAATCTAGAGGGCGGAAGCCGGAAACTGGTAGGACTCTCTTTTTTTTTTTTTTTTATCATTAGATCACTTTTAAATAAGAGGAACAAATAAAGAGCCGTAGGCTTACAACATAATCATGCCTACATCAAAACAAAAAAACAAAGTCGAACCTCCAACAAATGAGGCGATAAGAACAGAGCTTGAGTGGTCACCAAATGAACCACTCTGTAACCATGGAACACAAACCATCGAACCCAGAAAAGTACAAACTATGGCACCCGTAAACACAACCCGAACAGCCTAACCCATGCATCCAAATGAAAACCTGGATAATCAATCTAGCGAAGCCATAATCTGTTGTCCATAGCCGCCACAGCAAGTATAAGGAAAAAAAACATTTTCATCCTATAAGTGAAGAACAAAAGCATATAGGCTTTAGAAGGAAGAGATCCGCCCCTCAAAAAGGATAACCACCAATCAACAAGAGGGGAGTGTGCGTGGGGACTGGGGACACCCACGACTTCCTTTTTCGCGGGAAGGTAGACAAAAGGAGATGGGCTGGGTACCCAACCTTTTTATCAAAGCAAATTACGACTCAGCCAACTGTCAGCCCACAGCCCGCCGTGGCATTCAAAATGAGCTGGGCCAGGTATCAAACCATTTATTAAAGACTGTTGAATTTGGGCCCAAAGACCTTGACCAAGTTGTTCGTATTCTAACTTCTCAGCCCACAGCCCAGCATGACTAGGGTTTCACTTCTTCCGGTATATAAACGCAGGAAACCTCTCGTCTCACTTTCTTATCCGTCAGTCTCCTTCAAACAAGGGTTTATCCAGCGGAAGCAAAGCAGAGAAGAGAACCAGAGAGAGGATTCGCTAGCTTATCACCATGAGAGCGAAGGTATGCTCCCGATCTTGAACTTGATAGTCGATCCATCGGATTCGTTGCTGATTTACTTCCTTTCTGTTTATTTTTGTTTTGGGGTGTTTTTCCAGTGGAAGAAGAAGCGTATGAGGAGGTTGAAGAGGAAGCGCCGAAAGATGAGACAGAGATCCAAGTAGTCTGCTTCCTTTCAATAAACGAAGTGGAACGTAGCTTATCGATCTAGGTGGATTTCTGCAGTTCGTTCTTCCTTTTCCCTGTTTTTGTGAGATTTGAAAACCCTGTTATCAGTAGAGAGCTTGATGTTTGGGATTTGATATTTCAGTTGGATACAGTTTTGTTTACAACAGTTATGGAATGTTTCTTGTTCAATATGCGTATGGGAAGCTGCCGCTTGTTCTGCTTATACAAGTTTATGGCTTATTGCGTTATCTTTCTCGCATTTTGTGGTATCTTATGTCTCTCATGGTTGTCCCGGATCTTGAAGAAACTTGGTGGTAGGTCACTGATGGATTTGATTCCTTCCGGTCAACTGATTTTGATTCATGGGGAATTGAGTAGTATATTGCTGTTGAACTGTGTGCTTTGAGCTCAGGGGATATTAGCAATGGTCCAAGTCCAGATTTTGTGATTCTTCTGTTTGTGTTGGAAGAATGAATGTTGTTTATTTCTTGGTTACAGCAATGATGACTCGTGATTGTTATGTCGACGACCATTGTAGTAACCAATAGCTGTGCTTATGAGTAAGTTTTGCTGATGTTCTCTAGATTAATGGTCATTCCTATTCATTGGAGTTTCATAGACTTCTTTCAAATGGAATATTACTCTGCTGTGTCCGACTACAATCCACCAGTAATCTATTTTCAGGTTGGATTTCCTGGTCGTTAGTTCTTCCTCTCCTGTCAACTCTGCTGTGTCTTGGTTCTTTTCTCACCTGCCTCGTACATTTGGTTGAATAGTATGCTTGCTGTTGTATGATTTCCACCGTGTGTGGCTGGGGATGGCGTACATAATCTTAGTTTTTACTATTTAGCTGTGCTGTGGCCTGTGTGTGGATGTTGCTGGTTTGTGAGATGGTTTTAGCTAATAATATTTGTCCCTGTAATGTGATTGTTGACTGGTTAAATTGCTGTTTGCAGTTTCCAGTCATCTATAAATTCAATTTGTTTACTTTCCTCGTGTGAAGTTCTTTGTTAGGTATTACATTCTAGGCCTCTTGCTATGCGTTCAAGTGTGATATTGGTATCCGAAAGATGACCAGTAACTGGATTGTGCCCCCTGGATTTATTCTTGTGTAGAGAAGATGTTTGGTACATGTAAGCTAATTTTTTATGAGGATTAGGGTTTAGAGTGCTTGAGATTAGTGAGGTTGGTGATGTTATATAAAACAGTCGTGGAGAACCGTTTTTAGAGTGTTTGAAATTCAGTGAACCGTGTTACAGGGTTTACATTGTTGTAGGTCTATCAAAATTTGGTTGCTGTATGTGTGAGCCTTAAGCTTTTTTGTTATTTGGGCTTTCATAATGACATTTTTAACTGGAAAGTGCTTCCTCAGCTTTTGAATGATCAGAGGCAGGTAATTTGGCCGAGATCGATGAGATCAAGTACCTGTGATCCAGTTGTAGCATCTGCTCAACTAAAACAGAGTGTTGAGATGCTGTCGAGTTAAAGTCTTCGGAAATATAGTTAAAGTTTTAACGTGTGATTGCCATAAAAATGGTTAATCAAAATCTCAACGCTAATGTCAACACTCGACTCGAGTACAAGACAGGCCATACTGTAGCTTGCCGTCTTCCTTCCCTCTAACAAAACCCAATCTTTGAAGATCTATGTTTTGAAAGCAAAAGCAGCCATTCCATTTTTCATCATCTGGGTGGTTTTGTTTGTCCACATTCCATGGGTTACCTAGAGAAAGGACTCTTCTTGTTTTGTGTTCTCTTCAACAAACTAAACCAAGGCCTTATCGACATGAACAAAAGTTTAATAAAGAAGAAGAAAAACTGGCTTCATTTTAACGTAGTCCCATTCCTACTACTAGTCGGTGACTTTGTGGCAGTGGTGAGGCCAAGAGGGAGCCCTACCAGCACAAAAAGACATCGGGGACTGATGAAGATGAAACGTACAACTTGATTCAACTTTTGATCGATACCCTCTCGTTCGCGTTTCCTCAAATCTATTGGTAGATTCTCGGGGTGCTGGTGCCAACAAGTTCTGAGAGTTCCCCCTCTTTGGAGAAGGAAATTTCAGAACTCCTACTGAAAATGCAGTGATTCATATTCCCCATTCATGAAAAAGATTGAGCAATTATCATCTGAATGGGCGCAGGTTGTGCCACATAAGGATTTTGCCCCAGTTTCAGCAACTGAAATTTCCAGAAATGTGGCAAATCCGGGCACCAGATCAGCCTTTTCCCTGCTGCTACAAAAATGAAGTAGCATTAACATGCTCTCAGTGCCAAATGAAGATCCAAGAGAAGCAAAAAGCACAGAGGAAAGAGCTACACCATGCAAGCAAGGCAAGTGTTGATGTCCCATATATTTTACCCATCTTCATCAAGCAACTCTTTGTACACATTCATTCCACGTCCGTATGATTCTGTCTAATAAGTAATAACAACACAAGAAGCTTGAAAGTTTCCAGACCATGTAAAATCAATATAACCCATCTACAGCACCTGAAACTATTAGTAAATCACTCAAAACTCGTTAAAGTGGATGGCACCAACTTTCCAGACAACGAAAGTGGTAGCAAACATGACGCTGCTGATGAACACAAACGAGAAGGCAATGACCAGCAGATCATTACCCCCCGGGAAGTCAAACGTCCATCCCGGGTTCGGCATCCCTCTCTTGGCATCATCCAACATGTTGGTTGGTGCTTCAGGGAGTCTTGATCTCTTCTTGCCCTTATCACTCTCCCTCAAAGCATCAAGCACTTTCTTCCCCATGTCTGGCTTGGTTGGCTTCTTTTCCGGGTATCGACTGAGGACTCGAGCGGCCTTCAATCTCTCCCTAGCTGTTAGTGGTGATGATCTTTTGGGCCTTGGTTGCGGCGGTGCTGGTGCTGGTGCTGGTGGTTGACCTTCTTCAGGGGAGGCTTTCAATTGCTCAATGGGGACGACTGGATTGAGTTGGTTGGTGTCGGTGGTAGCTCGATCGCTATCTGCAACCCATGGAACCGAGCGTTGTAGCTTTGATGTGGAGCGAAATGTGGCGAACGGGTGTGAGAATGCGGGCAAAGACATGGCTGGGGATCTAAAGTCATGCTGCCGATGCTTGGCTTGCAGCTTCAGAGAGGAAAAACAAGAACAGGAAGAGTAAGAACCTAAGGACAAATTCCATATAATTTTTCCATGCCTACCTACAAGGTCAGTTTTCCATATAATTTGTCCTTCATTCACGCATATAGAACTGCACCAAGTTCATTTCTTAAAAGCTGTAGAAACATTTCCAAACAAGTGTTGCCCTGGTGCATGATTAATGGCAGAAGACACCAATTGAACAACTTAATTTCAACAAAGAGAGGCACAGAAGAAAGCTGAAAACTTCAAGAGAACAGTGATGAATGAACATTTTGTTTGTTGGACCAAAGTGGAGAAATTTACTCCTAAACCCCTACTGATGCCCATTAGATATGAAGAATTCATTGATCTAAATCAGGAGGATTTCCCAGGGCAACTGCCATGGCGCAGGTAGCAGCACAACTCCTGAAATCTCTTCCAAATTTTCATATCAGGAAGGGGAAATCAAAGAGTTGGTTTTTCGTACCATGAGCTTCACTGGTCTTAGACATTATGGAGTGAGTGTACGCAGCAATGAGGAAATATGTTTCGAGCCAAGATTGATGGTTAGTTCGAAAAGGAAAGTAGAGCAGAGAAACAGTGAAGCAGAGAAATAGGTAGGTAGTCCGTGGAAGAAAAGCATACCGTGGCGTTGAACCCAATGACTGAATTCAAGGAAACTGCCATGATGGGTTTCTTCGTTGGGGAAGGGTTCCGGTCAAGGCCCAACCATAGGCGGCGGCGACGGTCGACGATAGCACAGAGGGAGCGTTGTTGGTTGGATTTCTGTTTGTGGCGAGAGACTGGTGCGTGTGTCCGAACTCCGAACGGGATCAGGGAATATCGACTTATCTTCTATGTCTCTTCCTTTATTTCTAGGGCTAATACCACTACAACACCCGAACTATCGCGAAAATGCCACTTGTGTCCTATTGTTTCCAATATTCCATCTGTGTCCTGAACTATGATACTTTGTGTCATTTGTATCCTGTCAATTTCGTTGACCGTTAAAGATAACGGTTGACCAAACGGTGGTCAACGCGAAGTTGACTTTTGTTGACGTGGCAAAAAAAGAGGCTACCACATAGGTGCCACGTCATTGACCTAATATTTTTCTAATTCAAATTAAATAAAAAAATGATTTAAAATTAAAAAAATGTAAATTCAATTATGTTATTAAACCAAAATTTTAAAACAAAATAATAAAAAACTCTTCTTCTTCTCTACCGATTCACACTCTCCCTCTCTGAAAAATCTCCCAATCCGGCTCAGATGCGCCAACTCGCCAACTCGCCAAAAATCTCCCAATCTCGCCAATCTTTCATCGTGCCGCTACAATGGCCGGAACCCAGAGAATGGGGTTAATTGAAAATCAAAATCCCAAATCCCATCATCGGAGACAGAGGGATTCTCAGCCCATGATTCATGTTCAATGATGGAAGATTTTGGCGATGAATCTAGAGAGGATTTGCTTAGGCGGAGGTTAATCTTCCTACTCTTGCGATCTGGAGAAGAGAAGTCGGTCGCCAGTGGAAGGAGTGATGGTGCCGCCGAGCTACTGGCTCCAATCGATGGGGCGAGCGGCGGGGGGCCTGCCTCCGTCCATTCTGTCTTTGCCTCAGTCTCTGTTCGGGCGATTGGAGAAGAAGAGGAAGGAGCGAGGTCGGCGAGGCGCGGCGGGCGAGGTCGGTGAGGCGGGGAGTCGGTGAGGCGGGGGTTGGGGAGGCGCGGGGTCGGCGAGGCGCGGCGGGCGAGGTCATCGCCGGAAGCGCAGGGTCTCGAAGGGGCGACGGCAGGCGGAATGGGAAAGGGGTCGATGAAGAAGGTGTTTGGTTTGGAGGGTGGAGGCGGCGTAAGATAAGGGAGGGAGGCAGAGAGTGATGATTAGGGTTTCAATTAGGTTAGGGGAAGAAGAGGTAGGATTTTTATTTTATTTTATATTTTAATTATTTCCTTTTTCTTATTTTATTAATATTAGATGGAAAAAATTAATATTAAAAATTCCACGTCAGCTGCCACATCAGTGCTGACTAGATTTTCTGTTAAAAACTAACGGTCAACAAAAGTCAACACTAACGGAATCATAGTTCAGGACACAGATGGAATATTGGAAACAATAGGACACAAGTGGCATTTTCGCGATAGTTCGGGTGTTGTAGTGGTATTAGCCCTTATTTCTATTACACTTACACCCTTCAACTTTCATAATTTTTTTATTACCACGAATAATGGTAATATCTCAAGCAATTTCAGTATCCACAAAATACGATAAATTTTGTTTTTATTTTTATTTTAACGATAAGTGTTGTTGAATTATAATAAATAATTTTATCTCAAGAGATAAATGTGTATGGGGCGGAAAATGAAATAAAAAAGGTTTTGTAAATAATTTGAAGTTAAACAAAGTAGTACAAAGATAAATGACCTTTCAAAAAATCAGCATAGTACATCTAAACGTAAAATGGTGTTAAGTAATAGGGAATACATTTAAGGGTGGAGTTTTAATTTTTTGTTTTGGGTCAATCGAAATCGAATCGATTTTCAGGTGTATTGGTTTGGCTTAACGGGTAAAAATCGACAAACCCTAAATTGTTTTCATTAAAACCGAAAATTGTTAATAAAACCAATAAAATTATATAAGCTTTTAACACAATTAAAGGTTTTTTTTTATTTTCACTTTATTCTTGGCGAAATAGTCAAGCGCTTATCGGTCTCGGATTTGATCATTAGTCTCATTTTAGTTTCAGTTTCTAATGGTATATGAACCGAACTGCCACCCCCTAAATACACTAGGATATTCGATCGGTACAAGAATTAATATCACACGAATAGATATATAAACTCAAATATCGAATCTTGAATTCTATGTGTGTGTTTTTTTCCAATATTGTAGAAACCCTATCATACTGCCCAGTCCGACTGGAAATACCATATATATTACTCCAAACGATAAGCAAATCCAGCACTAGCTACATCGGAACTTTCTGGTCTCATATCTCATGTAACAATCTAACCTCCCAGTATTAACCTTGACGTGTCCCCCAATTCTGCATTTGCAGCGGTTGACGAGATACTCCCCGGCGGTAGCCAAACAGCCAGAGCACTCTTCATACGACGTCGGACACCACCTCCCCTCGCCGCCGCCGTCGCAGACCATCACCCGACCACAGTAAGCGTAGCCGTACATCGTATGACGACCGCCGCCGCCGGTGGCATCTCCGGTACAGTACTTGTAGTTGGGCTTCGAGTAAGTTTTGGCTATCAACTTGCCCAGAAGGTGACTCTTCGCCGGCAACGATCCCCTGCTGCTGAAGTTTCTTTTGTTGCACATGATGGGAATGAGAATAACGCTGGCTGTGGCAGCATCATTAGTATCGAAAGCTGAAATTGTTATACATGCTAATGGAAGAAGAAGAAGAAGAAGAAGAAGAAGAAATATGGTTTCGGCTTTCATGCCCTCTGTTTTATATTTATTAATCAGTTTCCTCACTGTGTGTGCGTCTCTGCCTCTCGTTAGAGCTTCGGTTATATAGAGAATCTTGTAGCTTTCTCCATCCGACATCCTGTGGAACTCGGATGCTGTTGGTTTACTGGCCTGATTTTCCATTATTGGGGTACGGCCATAATTGGGTTTCCATGGCTGAAACTCTAGTACCAGGGGAATCTTGATACGTCTAATTACAGCAAAGAACATTGTAATGCACGGACGTTTCTGTATTTTAATTTGTTAGTTACACCTCGAGAATTGCCAACCGCGGTCAAATCTGTACGATATGTAAATACTACGAAAAAATCGTATTAGTCGATTTTACATGGTTAAAACTGAAAATTATTTCATATAATGAACAATAGTATAAAACTGATATGCTATTTGATTAAACCACAACTATACCATTAAACTACCCTTTTTCGCGTGGTAATTATAATCAGCTCGGCTAATTAATCAGCTCGGCTCCAATCGAATGATTAACCTAATGGTGATTGGAAAGGGGAAGATTAATTGTAATCCAAGTATATTTCTTTTGTGTTTCTGCAACTAAAAGTTCAATAGAGTATGTAAAACCATTATCCGAACTCAAAAGGGATTGCTTCATCAAATAGCTTACACAAGGGGGAAGGGAGATGAGAAAAGCAATATGATGCAAATAAAAAGACAATGGCTCAATCGTTCAACTACAGTTAAGGTCACCGATTCCTACTCACTCCATTTTGTCCTGTGTTAAGAGCTAGTTCCGTAGTACAGGTCGAATAGCGGCTTTGAGATCTTCATAAAACCTTTGCTCCGAGAACTTGCCTGCCCTTCTCCTAGCGGCCGCAGCCATCTTGAACCTCTCATTCTCTGGCATCTCTATGACTTTAACTATGGCGTCTGCGTATTCTTCAACTGTCTTGGCTAGAAACCCTGTCTGATCCCCTTCTTCTTCCAACACAATGTCCATTTTTGGACCAGCTGAGTTATGAGCTGAAAGGGGGGAATTAGGAGCAGGGTGAGTTAATATTCTAACATTTCAACAACACAATTGAAACAAAAAAGGCTTCAACTTTTGGAGGAACATGACAGGCCTTACCTATTGGTACAGCTCCTGCAGCCATGTATTCAACAACGCTAATGCCAAAGTGTTCGTCGGTCATAGAATGCAGCCCTGCAACTGCACCTCCCAGCAGGTTAATCAATTCCCTGTAAGTTGATCATGAAGTCTTAGTCAAGTCCCGACCACCAGAACAACAGCACAACAACAGGGGTTGTTTGGATGTTTGATTTGGTGATAGAATTGAGCATCATATCCATAGGAACATGTTGGTGGAACCAAAAAAGGGTGTCACCCCATGGAATTAGAAATCCATGAGGGAAATTCCTTGGAACTCACGGATTTGAAAAACCTTCGGCTTACTGAAATCTACCACTCCTAGTGTTCCTGTTGCCATCATCCATTTCCAATCGGTTTATCCCAATCTAATAGTAAAATCCAACATCCACTCCGAAACACAAAATATCTCTGCCGATACCCAAGAAATGAAATACACAACTAGGCAAACATATATCAATATAGAAAACAGCGGACTTCCAATGCAATCATCGAGTGATCCAGCACTAACCTGTACATCACATTCTTATGGAATTCCACATCCCCATCTACCTTCAGTTCAACAGCTTGATCTTTCAACTTCTGCAGCCTCTCCTCGTCTGCTTTGTTTCTACAGCTACCAACAAACTGTAGCTTTGGTCTTGGCAGCTTGGTATCCAACCTAGAAATGGCAAGTGCAAAGGCATCTAGTTGCAGCGGATGAGCCTGACATACATCGCAAAAGCAAGCTCATCAATGTCAAGGACGAGCCCTAAGATTCGGCCCTATCAACGAGCCACTGAAAACTGAAAGTACCTTTTTCTCACAAATGTCACTCAAATATCCCCACCTTCTCTGGGCGGAACTGTGCAACAGAAATGAATACTGGAGTCTCTGCCGGCCTCTCCAGTGGAAGCACCTAAGAAAGCAGTACCAGAATAAAGCTATGACAATGGAGCGAGAGCACAACAGTTCACGAATTTACAAACACTTAGCAAAGAGGAAACCTGCAGCCCTGAAGTATCACAAGGTGGGTAGACTCGCTTAATCCGGTCAGGAATTCGCCACAGCTTCTCGATGTGAGACCGAGTCCAGGAAGAGTTCACCATGGCTAAATGTGCGCAAGAACCAACCAACCCATACAACAAGCTGAAGAACGTGTAATAGACTAGCTTACATCGCGATAGCCAACCACTGCACCAAATATAACCGCGTTCAGACAACTTTCCCCCAAATGGGCTCCGACGAAAAGTTCAAAGAGAGCTTCTAGTTTCCTTTACCTGCGAGCGATCGAGGCATCATTGTTGTACATGGAGCTCCGGCGACGGACGCGGGAGATCATGTCCAAGCTGATCGTCGGGTAATGCGTATAGCAAACGACTTTGCACCCGAACAATCGGGCAATCGGGTAAGTGAAAGCGTACCCGCTCGTGTCGAAGTAATGGAGAGGAGTGAAGCTCGATAGCGCTTCCCAGGAGAGAAGAATCGAGCCCAAGCTCTGGCCGATCATGGTGAATCGAGGGTACGTGGATTCCTCGACCCATTTCCTCTTGTAGAGATGCACCGCCTTCGGCGGGCGGAGCAATTGGACGCCGAATCGGTCGGTGGCGCGGGCGGCGAGGGATTGAGGGGAGGCGTCGTGATCGCCGGTGTAGACGATGCAATCGATATCGGGGATCTCTTCCTGTATCGCTTTGACGGCGCACCAGAGGACTCGTTCGCCTCCGCCGCCGTCGTTGGTGTAAGGGTGGAAGAAACCGACCGCTCTCTTCCGGTGGCGACGGGAGTTAAGAATGCGGGAGGCGAGGAAGGTCGAGATGGCGATGAGGAAAGATGTGAGTAGAGAGACGGCGAGGAGAATCCCGCTCGCCATTGTTGGGTTTACAGAGAGAAAGATCCCCTCCAGATTTTAATTTTTGTAACTTTCTATGCATTCCCTTGGGTTCGTTTGCGTTTCGTTTAGTCTTGCTTGCCGTTTTCACCAGTCTCTCTTCCGCAATACAATTTCTAGGGGTGGGTCGGGTCGGGTTGTGGTTTTTAACAGTCTCTCTTCTGCAATACGTTTTCTAAGCAAAATTGCAACACAGACGAGCTCTATCATATCAGGCTAACACGAAAGTCTTAAATAGTGTTCCGTTCTGTCATCTGCAAGACGCACACATCGATGAAGCGAGTTTCGCAGGAGAGACGACAACCATAGCCTGACTTGCGACAACACCCCCATAACAGAATGACAAAATGATTGAAGAATACAGAAACATGAGCATAGATGAACAACACTGTAAATTGTAAAATCAATATTCCCTCCCGAGTTCCCGTCAGTACCGAACACTACAACTTATATCGAACCTTTTGATGATTGTAGATGACGGAACAGTATTTTCGATAATATACAGGCCACCCAGAGATATACAATACCAACTTGATTGTGAATATCCTGTGCCAACCTCCCTAAGGCAAATGCTGACATTTCCTTAAGTTGCACATCTGAAGCCTGAGAGCATACCCATCAACGGCGAACGATGTGTACCTTGCAATCAGAATCTGCAGTAGCAAATTGACCCGGTTTCAAGGCTGCTCCTCATTGGCTCTCGGGACAAGTGGATCTGAGTAGATTAAACAGATTGCACAGCTTCAGCAAGAAGAAACTTTCGCATAATATTTGGAAATGAATGCACAAGATTCCCGATTACACCAACTGCTTCAAAATGTATTTTTGTATCCTCGGACTCGAGCACGAATACAATAGTACCCTCTGGCACTACCATGGAGAGAATTGGTGTTCACAAATTGTTTTTCATTCTCCACGTGAATGACAACATACCTTGATCACCAGTCATGGAGTCTTCAGGTAAGGGAACAGGACATTTTTTATTGATTGGATTGATGGTCTTCAGGTAAGGGAACAGGACATTTTTGATTGATTGGATTGATGCTCTTGAACTCGTTAGAGGCTTTCAATTCCTCCCCAAGCTCGCCGTCGTGAAAAGTTACCTAACATGAAGGGAAAAATACAACTCATGACATTTCCAATATGAAAACCCAAAAGATAGAAATGCAATTGGTAGTGATGCTACCAGAAGGGCTCGAAGGCAATAGTGGGGAACCATACCTCTGTGTAGCGGCTCAGAAGCACTTGAAAGAAGTTGATTAAATACTCCCATTTTGATTATATACGGGTATGGATTCTTAATCATCATGCACTTTTCTCCGACAAAATCAACTCGACAACTTCCTTTACAAAGCCGAGAAAGCAATCTCTGCAACAGCTTGGAATCAAAATAGCAATACCGTTACTACATTTTGCGATCTCCTCAGTGTGCTTGCACACAGGGCTAGGGATTGAACGCACGGCTCTTCTTGAATGCTCCAAGCCACATGCTGCTAAAATTGTATGCGTGGAGACCCTTGCTACTTCCTTGAATCTCTCTACCCCTAAATGTTTGCCACCGCTCAAAAGCTTTAAGTTGAGCTTCACAAGTGACTGGATCTCTGTTTTTGCCTCATCATCCTGCCCTCTGTCACCAACAGCAACAGCCTTATGGGATGCAACATTCCCATTAACGACACCTGCCTTTGTGGGGGTTAATGCAGAGGTTTGCAAAGACCCTGGTAATACTGCAGTTGACAAACAGGATGCTCCATTCTTCTTATCCACGCGACTCTTGGAACCACTTCCAACTAGTTTCCGGGACAACTCATTATGTCTGTTCTCATGAACAACATTTGAACCAGCAGAGGAAGATGCCACTGAGAGTCTGCAGCTAGGCCCCGCACTATCTTTCGTGGTTACTTTTACATGCTTTTGCATATTGGAGTGAGCCTTTTGTGTACAGATTGAGGGTACCTGTTTCTCGGTTTTTCCCCGGGAATAAAGCTCATGTGTTCCAGGAGTGGCACCTCGGCACTCCTTAGTCCCAAGTTCGTGGGTTTTTGAGGAATGCAATCTCAAGCTTCTATTATCAGCTTCTTTTGAAGTACTCACCCTGACTGAAGGACATTTAGATACCTGCTGCATACTTTTCGTGCCTCTTTGACATGCCAATTGTACCGATTTTGCCTGAAGCATCATTTTCCAAGCTTTATCTATGTCATCAGATCGTGTTTCTTGACTAGCACTAGCAGTGCCAGGAGAATCGTTCGTAACCCCAAGTTGCTGGGCATTCGACGTAGGCAAGCAATTTTGCTCAGGCAAAACAGCAGCTGAACTTTGTCCTGCATTGCTACTGCTATTAATCGATTCATTTGAACGGAATCTCAAGGACCCACTTCGCAACCCATCCCAATTCTCACGGATTGAGCGTATGTAAGTGTGCACATTACGACATCCTGTCAGCGTTCTAGCCCCATTTTCAGCAGCTGCATTATCTGCCACATTCCGGTTTCCTAACGTACTTTCATCTAGCTCAGTATGGGTGGCACTTCTTTTACCTGGTCTAGTAACTTCTTGCACTCTCCGCTTCCGCCACCTACTAGGCATACACCAATCTTGCTCGTGTACTAGATCACGAATAGAAACACTTGCTTCTTCTGTCTCCCTCCCACTAGAGGTTTCACCTGCATCATTGTCCTCGTCAGTAGGCTGCTTGTCCCTCAAAACGCTAGATTCGCCATCTAGCTTTCCTTCCAAATCTCTACTGCCACAAACATCATCATCATTATCTGGTTGAATGCTATCATGTTCAGTCCTAGAAACAGAACAATCATGGCAAAACCAATCCCCATCTGGCACAGTGGCACCGAGGCCTACGCAGAAGGTGTGAGACGCAGAATCACAAAGATCGCAAAGCAGTAATAAATTCTCCTCGTGTGTACCATGGCATACAGCGCATTCAACATGAGCAAAAGGATCAAAAGGCCGATCCCCCGCGACGACGCCATACTGATTGCGCTCGGGGACAGGAACGACGCGCTCGGTACGGAAAACGCCAGCTTTGGAAGGTCTGCGAATGGCGGTGAACCTGCGCTTGCACATAGGGCAACGAGACTCGATCTTCGCCCACTCCATGATGCAAACGAAGCAGAAGTAGTGATCACAGCTGTCGACGAAGCCTCTGATTGCTTTCCCGCCGTCGGACCAGCAGATTCCGCAGCATATAGAGGAATCCCCGCCATCCGTCGGCATAGGTTGCTTCCCTTTGGTTTCTGATCCGGATTCTGCCTCGCCGATGTCTTCGATGCCCGTCGAACTGGAAATCAGGGTTTTGAGGCGCTTGTTTGGGGATGAAACGACTGTGGGTGGCGGAGAGCCTGAGCCACTCTCCATCAGGTAGATGCTTAGTTGCCGCAGTTCCTCTCCGTCGCCGGATACTCCCCGGGAATTGCCGGCCTCTAATTTCTCAGGTTATCTCCTTTATTCTAAAAATAGGGCAAACTAACCGCTTGCAGTTATAAGTTTTATAACTATTTCCCCTCCTCCTCTTCCTCTTCCATAAGTTTTCCGCAATACGTTTCCATGGGTCATTGTAAGAAGAAAAAAAACGTTTCTAGGAGTGGGTGGGGTTAATTTTGGTTAATCAAAAACCAAACCAATAACTCGGCTTTGGTTGTTCGGCGAAATCAGGAATTTGTTCAGATTACATGAACTCTTCATGCTTTCTTACAAAATGTTATGAAATTATAGCCAATTCTACATCACATGTAGCTTGGTTTGGCGCACGCGAGTGTTGCAACTTGCGACATAATCTAGTTCGTCAAAAAGAGTTTAAGGAGAGAGAACAACCAGGGCCTGACCTAACGGAACGACAAAGTGATAGAATGCGAAAGGTTGAATGTAGTAAACTATACAGTAAAATCAATGACTTGCAAAGAACCTTCATAGTAGGAGAACCGAAGGTGGGATAGACAGAAGAAAAAGTATTTCCGGCAATGTACCAACTCGAGAAAATCCAACCAAAGGAAACAAGAAATGGCTTCAACCAACATATATCTCTTACAGTGTTAGCAGAAACAGAAATTGCACATGCCAAAAGAGTAATGAGAATACAGGCAATGTCAGAAATGGCAAATTATGGAACTAAACCAAAGTCGATTACAAATGGGACTGTCTTTGTACTGGGGAGCGGAAACTCCGAAAATTCGTATAAAAAGACCACCTAAGCAAATCAAGGAAAAGAAACAAGGACAACAGAGCAAAAAAAAGAGTTAATACAGGTCCCAGAAGATTGTCTACTTGTACTCTCCTACCAGCAGGAGAAGAAAAAAAACTTGCCCTTTCCCTAAGAACAAAGAATATTACAACACTTATCCACACAAAAACAACCAAAACTATAAAGGACCCCTCACAGAGAAAAGTGGCAAATTATTAATCCAATTACACCTTCATATATGTTCCCCAGAACTCCCACCTACAATGCAAACGTCAAAATCCCGACCACCCCTACATATGAAGGCGCTGACAAAGCCAGCCATATGACACCACCAGAATAGCAACTACCGACTGCTTCCCTCTTCGAAAGGTGCTGCTCTGCAAACCGCAAAGATAACTCGGAGCTAATTTCTACAAAAAGCACGGCCCCAGTCAAAAAATCAATAGTTCCCCATTGGAGGCATCCCAAACTGCTGCATCGGGGGCATTCCCATCCCGCCCATCTGTGGTGGCATGAAACCGCCAGGCATCCCTGGCCCACCCATACCGGGCATTGGAGGTGCAGGCAATGCAAGGGGAAGCAACTGGGCATACATGTTCTGCAAAGGGAAATCAACCAGTCAGAGATCCGAAATCATTTAAGCTTCAGAAAACAATCTCCGGGAGTTTCTGCGTTAGCTAAGGAAACTCGATGTCAAAATACAGTGCTCAATAGAGCTGTAGCTCTTTACTATAGGAGGAAACTTGAGGTCTTATTATGTGCAAGTCGAGTCTTTACCTGCTGGGCAATCACATCCTTCTCTTCCTGTTCCTTGGCCTTAACTTCCTTCTGAGCCTCGAGTTTGTCTTTTACAAGCTCGTCAACTTTGCCGGTGTATTCACGAACGAACTGCAAGGAAGAAGCTACGTAAATACAGTGAACACCAAACAATACTATACAGTGCTCATATCGAGACTTGAAAAGATACTGGTTCCCTATTCACGGCAAATTGTAACCCAAATCCGACAACTATATATCCGCCTATTCAAAATCTAGCATACACCACATCACAAGTTTCAGACAGAATAGAACAGATATTGATTCGAAATTCTATTCTACCAATCCAGATCAGATAGTCCATGAACCAGTCAATCCATTTTATAACCCAACACATTTGTCAACTCTAGGTCCCACCAAGAACAAAGACATTAAACAATAGAAACCAAGAAGACCTACCTGTAGCAGGTATGGGAAGGCAAAGTCGATCATATTGTTCATCCAGGCAAGTTCAAGAGCGACATCTGGCCGTATCAAGTCATAACAGACAAAGAGGCATGAAGCAAAGCATTCTTTCTTGCCCTGCAGATAAACCACAAAATACAAGGTTTAATTGGAGGCAACAAACAGCCCACAGTTCGATCGAAAGTTCGTTGAACAAGAACGAAACAACAGCAACCAACTGAATGAATGAAATCTCACTTTTTCAATGAAATAAACAAGCAATTCTTCAGCGAGTTCACGATCACCAGATTGTGAAGCAGTTTCCATGGCATCTTTATATAGGTTATCCTTCTTAGACAATGCAATCGACTGCTTCCATCTGCCAGCCTTTTTGTAGATATATGCAGCAACACGTCTCATTTCAAGGAGCTCATGCTTCTCAATCTGATATAATACACAACAAGGAGTCCAGTCAGAAATTCATAACAAAAAGAGAGACAGAATACAGGGGCAAACAGCCATCACCTTCTGAGCAAGGCCAATCTGATCAAAGTTGTCATGTAAATCAATTGATTCTCTTAATCTATCATAGTCCTCTTCCTCAACATATATCTGATTCAAAGCCTCATTCACAGCAGACACATTGTTGCTCTGAACAGCAACCATATATGGCTTCACAAGAAGCAAGTGCCCAGCCTGAAAAAAAAAAAAAACAAAGAAAAGTGACTTTAGCATAGAACCAACGAACTGTTTATCAAATTCAGTACATGCACAGACAAGTTAACTACCTTCCGCATGATGTCAACAACACGAGTATGGTCAACACGGAGAGCCAATACATTTAGGAGATCATTGATAAGATCAGGATGCTCTTGCAAGTAGAAATGCACCGCCTTGTAATATAGCTCCACATTGGCAACCTTGACCACAATATCCTTGAACTGCATGTGGTCCCAGGCCTCCGGAGAATGATTCATTACAGTTGCAGCAGCATTATCGAACTCGTCATATTGGATGTAGAGATAGGTGAGTTCCTTCCAATGCTGCTGTTCATCACATGCTCTGATGAGTTTGGGAATATTGAGACGGGTTGAGAACAATTTAATATGCTCCATAAGCTTCTCATAGCGGTATCTGGCATAGAGAACTCCCAACTCAGTGAAGATGCCCATATGTGCTCGTTCCAATCCTAGACCACTCTCCATCAGAGAAATTAATTCATTGAAGTATCCTCTGTTCTGATAATACTCGCTAACCTCTTCCAGATCATCCACCTGAGGGTAAGCACATGACGGGAAAGAGTAAGAATCATTTTCAACAAACAAATAAGCAAACATGGATCTTAAAAGTGGGAAGGTAAAGACAAACTACATAATTACCTGCACAATGATATTCAAACCACACATTTGGGCCAAGCGGAACTCTTCAGCATCAACACAAGCAAAGCACACTTCCTTCCATGTTTTTGCACTGTTGGCCTTCCGCGCTGCATCGACAGCACCTTGGAACTGTTTCAGCTTCACAAGGGTACAAGCCAACTTTGCCCAGTTTGATATGAAGGCAAATATTATTTTTGCGGCCTCGTACAGAGCATCATCATATAGACGATCACCAACAAGTTGGAGATTAGCCACATTTGGCATAAGAATGAATTCCTCTATTTCACCTAACCTATCAATCTTGGCATATGCAAAAATGAGCTCGCTGTCCACCTTGGGCTCTTTCGTTTTTTGCCTAACCATCAGAAGGTATTTCACCAGATCATGATAGACATCAGCCTCTTCGGCTGCACGAATGACCTCATGAAATTGAGTGGCATCATCTGCACGAATAAATGATTCAATTGCATCAGAAACCAAACCCTCCCTGAGTTGAGCCTTGGCAACTTGGCTCCATACAGCATCTTCTTCAACACGGAATGCAAACTCCACAGCCCGGTCAATGCTCCTGATGTTATCCAAAAGAACATTCACAGCCTGAACATTCAAATTGAACTTCTTGAAAATTGCAAACGCTTCTTCATAAAGCTGAGCTTCAACTGCCACTTCCCCAACAGCAGGACCATCAAAGTTATCCAATCTGTTGATGTAATCCATAACCCTAGAGGGATCTGCCTTAATTGCTGTCAAGATAAGCAGGTTTTGAAGATTGAAGTTGCCACTGAATGCAGAATTTTGAAGCACAATCTTTTCAAGAAGCTCAATCAACTCATGTGGAAGGTCAGCAGTCATGAACGCCTTAACAGCAGCAGAAACCTGTTCTGGGCTCTTGCTTTCAGGTAAGGCCGTAGAAACAACTTGGTCAATGAGCTGACGTCTGTACTCATTTTCAGGGTCAAGAACCTTCTCCCAAAGATCAGATTCCATCCTTTCAACAACATACCTATAGCCAAAAATAAAGCCATGTAAGTCACCAATTTTAGAAGTGACTACTACAAACAAGAAACAGGTTACTGAAAAGTGCCTACAACTCATCGAGAAACAACAAACCTGGCTTGTAATTTAAACAAGGAGTTCTTATTTGTGACATTGATAAGTTCATCATCACACTGCCCTCTTCGGTAAGCCACAACAGCAAGGGTGGGATCACGTTTCTCACAATACTTACCAACGACCTTCGAGTCGTAGTAAGGGTTTGTTGTGAGAAAGTGCTCTGGATTGTTGTTGCTATCAATGATGATCTTACCCAGTGCATTGTGGACATGCACATCTTGGCTTCCCTCACTTACCAGGTGCTCCAAGAACTGAGTAAGCAAACGAAGCCGGTTTCTGCAGAGACGAGCAAAATATTAGTTAGAACAAGTAACAAGACAACATACAACCAGAAAAACGCAGCTAGACACATGCCTCTTTTCACATTCATCTACAAGAGGCTCCACTGGCAGCAGAGAACGAACAGAAAGAATAAGCCCCTTGATGAAATCTTCAGGACATTCGTCATCCAACAACTGCCCAACAACCAATGGAGCATTTCCTGG